TCACACACATCTGACAGCATAAAGGAACAGGTACAGAAAAGGCTCAAAGCCACTTCAAATTTTATCCTACCCACGCACCAAGATGAAATAAGGTTCGTGTTCCTTTTTCTTTTTTTCTTTCTAATTTACCACCTAACAAGATTCTTTATGTGGTATCGCTCCAACAAAGGGAGGTTCCAAGGAGAGCTCGACTATGATGATGCAAAGAAGGAGTTTGAGAGCAGACAACAAGAACATTTTGTATATGATGAAATCTCCAACTAATGGGACATTCATTCTTTATTTAACAAAGATGATGGTCTCACACAGGAAGAAGACATTGTCAACAACCATCCGCTCCCAGATGGTGGTGCCATCCCAACTCCTTGACTAGACCAACCTTCTACCCTTTCATCCAATCACAATGAGTTAAGAAGGACAATAGTACACCAAGGACCTATTGGGTAGGACATGTTGTTCGGCACCTCGCTCGAAGATATTCTGTACAGCTGCTATGGACTTCTCTGCAGCACACAGTCCGAAATACAGTCTGCTACAGACTACACACCTATCGAAGAATCTCAGATAGTTGACACCTACACCATTCACAAATATATAATGGAGGTCAACCTTTCATTGGAAAGACACAGTAATGAATTTTCCATTTGCTACTTCATCTTCCCTTGTACTCAAAATACAACCACCTTCCCTCTTGTTGGATTTGCATCCTGGCCATGCTCGCAAAGTCCTCAAACACAACATGTATTTCAAAATTGACCTAGTTAAGGATAACACTCTATCTGGCTACTTATTCTTTCCTCTCATCCCAAAATATGCCTGAAAGTGGAACTTGTTTGTTTACAATGCCACTACTGTTGTCCACTGCATCAGAGAATAATGGGGACCATCTTTGGAGGATGTCATCCTATGCCTGTTTGAGCACAGAATCTCCTTCAAACTTCTTTTTAATGTCGCATATCCCATCATTCCTTGTTCTATCACTGTTTTCAAATCCAACTAGCATCCTTTCAGTTGGCAAGCAGACAAGTACAAATATATGGAGTACAAACTCCACAGAAATCACTTGTTGAGATTACCACATGTAAGAGTTGCTATTGCCCAAGCTGGTGGAATTCTATGGCATCTATGTAAACAAGAACGGGCCAAGGACATACCCAATGGACCCTCACACAATGTCCTCTATTTTGCAGATACATCACAACAAGCATCCCACACTTACCTATTCAACACTCTCACTGAGCATAAGATTAAAATATTATGCAGGATATACTACATTGATACAGGTACACCCTTTCCACCTTTCTCTGATGTATCTAATATATTAACATCTCATTCACAGATGGACACACCCAAACTACTACACTAGTATGGTGGCCCACACCTCAGTTGTGGGACTCATCGGGTTTGGACACAGGATACTGGAATCTTTCCTGCAAACAAATGTTCCAGGGAGGACTGAAAAGAATATGCACCAGTAATGTGACCTTACTGACTACCAAGAAGTGAAGGTCAGACCTTAAGTATTATAAAAACCAGAGTAGGAAAATAAATACCTATACCAAAAAAAATGACACCTCTTGTTTGAATAGATAATCTTGCATATATCATTTGTACTATCATGTATATTAGAATTTAATTATATAAGCTTTCCTACTCAACTTCAACCAACATCACATGACTGCTTATATCATCAAAAATGCGAAATTTCACTAAGTTCCTGTCACACTATAGTACTAGACATTGACATTAGTATAGTAGTGTAGTATACATTGTAATATAATAAAATATTATAGAGTGTATTTTAATATATATCTCTAATGTAACTACTTAGGAATTAGTTGGTAGTAAATTGTTGTTGGATGATAGATAAACATCAGACATATTAAATGTTGAGCTTATTGTAGTGTGCAGTGAGCAGGCATTTCCTATCTGTTCTTTTCTACCTATCTACTTTCATTCACTTTGTAAGTGTCTTTCACTTTGGCCATTCTTTCCACTTTAACCATTGTTCACAGTGTTATATGTGTAATTGCAGACATTTTAGCACTGTATCAATTGTTTGTCTGATCCTTTTGTTCTTTTACATCTGTTCTCTCACTGAATCACTTTGCTTCTTTAATTCTGTCCTAGGGATGCAAGGGCATCACATATGCTTCAGTAAGTGTCTTCCAGTTCTTCCAGTCCTTACATTCCTTGCATTCTGACTTTTTTTTCCAACTTTTACCATCTACGGTTCCAAGGCTCACATTTTCTTCACTCATCTTATTATTCTTTCTTAAAGTTCTGTCCCTGGCATGCAAACGCACCCCAGTAAGTGTCTTTCCATCTTGTCCAGGCCTTGCATTCTTTCCATTCTGATATTTCTTATAGTATAAATATTTTCAGTCTTTCTATCTGTGGACTTTCACCATGTATGGTCGCATACAAATGCACACCAGTAAATGTCTTTCCATTTGTCCAGACCCTGCATTCTTTCTGTTCTGATATTTCTTATAGTATAAATATTTTCAGCCTTTTCATCTGTGGACTTTTACCATGCACAGTCACAAGACTCGCATTCTGTCTTCTTTCATGCTACTTTGCTGCATGTCCAACTCTCCAGATAATGTTAAAGAGTTTTTATTACTAACAGTCCTACACTTAACTGAGTGATTGCTAGTGTACTTGGCAGTGAATGCACTTATAGTATTACCTATTAGACAGTCATGCAAGTGATCCAACATAGGAAAGAACGGAAGGGACAGCACTAATGCCCTAGACTGTAGGTCCTATCATTTTATTAGTTTTAAGTCAATGCTTATATGCATGGCTTTCCATTGGTGGCTTTTAGATTATTGCATGTCTTAGCACCGCTATCAATTACTCTGCACTATCACATTGTAATTAATGGACCCGAGCTGAATCAAATCAGCCTGCTGCTTTAAAGTGCTTCACTACCAGCCTTTGTCATCATTCATACCAGCATTTACCTATGACATCAACTCATGGTGTCCACCGCACATTTTCACCCCCCTGCCTTCCTTCACTGAGTCTAAAGTGGCCATGCATAGAATTATTCAATGCTCTGGTAGTTTCTCCATACATGAAACCTTTGCTCAGCAGGCTTGAATCTCATGAGCTATAGCTGAGAATTGGAAAAAAGGAGCTTAAGGGGAAGGATATAGCAAAGAGCTATCCATAGCAGGTTTAGAATTATCAGCTATAGTTTGATGCAGACCAAGCACGCACTGCTGCTGTGGACAACACATGAGTTCTGATTTCTACCTTTCCTGTGTCAATGTTCCTCCACCATGAGACCACATATAAGAAGATAATTGTAAGCTACTATTTAAAAGATAATAATAGTGTTATTTTTGAAGAAGCATGACCAATTTTTGTATCATGTGTTAATATGAAAGTGAAGTGGGCTATCACTACTTGCCTTAGCCTTAAAACCTCAAAACTCTTATTTGAGAATAGAATTTTTCTCATCTCTTAGACTTGCTCATTTAGACATAGACAAGAAGCATAATATATACAATCTATACCTTCAGAGACCTCTGATACTCCTTGCTAAAGCCCCTAAGGTTAAACTTCCCTACTATAGTATGGAGGTAAACAACACACTTCTAAGATCTGAGCTAGATTTGATGTACCTCATAGCTTATTCTGACCTTAATAAGCATGCTGATTTGGATGTGTGGAGCACTATTTTAGATCTAAGCTAGATTCAGTAAACTCCATAGCTCATGTCAGTCTTACCTTAAAGCAGTTCAGACACTCCAAAATAGTAATCTAAGCTAGATCTGATACACTATAAGATTTAAGCTAGATTTGCAGCATATTTCATAGCCTGACATAGTATCTTAAGCCTCCTACCTCATATATGCTTCAGTAAGTTTCTCAGGAATTTTGAAACCCATCATTACAAATTCTATTTCTATCAACAACTGACAGCCCTATTCGCTATTTTCTAACCTTCACTATCTTAATCTGTTATTAATTTTAATAAGAAAGCACTAGCTTTAGGCCTGATTGGTCCATATCTTTAAATAACCTTATGAATTATGAATTATAATTAATATTTAACTCCAGTAAAAACCAAACAGTAGTCCTACAATTATTACTGGCCTGCTTGTAGTCCATTTGCTTGCTCCTATTTTGAGAGATGAAGAGCTTTAATATATTTATATTTTCTTATGTTCTCATATCTCTCTCTTCACCTCCTATGGTGCTGGTTACTTACTACCTCATGGCTGTAACTTTATCATCTGCTGTAGCTTCTCTATTTTCTTTTGTTTCTCCTGTATCTCTTGTTTTAATAAATTGACAAATGACTGGTAATAAAATGTCTATTATCCTCTTCTTATAATGAGTGATAAAAGAAAAATACATTTCTCACTCGGCCTGGTATAACACTGTATTCAGAGATGCCTTACAAGAGAGCTGAGCCCATTTACTGATTACATAATATAATGAATATATCTGGCCATTAATACAATGACCTCTCCAGGGCAGCAGCTACCTAAAGATGAGTTTAAGTTAGATAATGCCTGGCACAATACTTAGTAAACTTCAGCTTTAAATATTCACTTTCAGTAAAGTGGCCTATTAGAAATATTGTAGTAGAACCCTCATCTAAACTATCTTAGTGAGGCATCACATCGAGCTTCCAAATCGCTACTCAGCCTAGAAAGGACTCTAAGTTTGTAATAGTCCACCTTTTAGCTTTAAACACTGCCTCATACTGAATGTAAAACTCTGGAAAGGATGACTTTGCCAATGATGAACATGGTAGTCATAGTACTTTTTCATATATATATTCCACTAGTTTAAGCTAAGTAAGCATTTTTGGAAATGACACTTAAGCAGCCTGATGTCTGAGTATGAAATTCCAGTGTCTTAGCCTAATTAATATCTATGTGTTCCTTATAGCTTTTGAGGTAATGACCAAGCAATCAGATCTATTATCTACCCAATATGTCTGATCTGTACAAATAGTAACGATGGAGTCTTTGTAGCTATTTGGGCTCAAACCCAAAGGGTTTGCGACCTGAAACATTGTTTCGAACCTGTGGAGAGTCCAGGATGAGTCGTGATTCCCAAAATGAAGGAGCCCAGTGACGCATTAGATGCAGCGTGGACTCCCACTTCAAAGGAGAAGGGTGACGCAATGACATACCTTGTCGATATACTGGGGGCATAGTATATCTTATGAAGGGTTCTAGAGCTGGAGAGCCTTGCAAATATGGTGCTAGTATCAAGGCATGTTTGTGCAGATAGCTCATGAAGGCTTCGCTCGACCACCTTCCCATAGATTTGACTACATCAAAAGGAACTCCATGCAGCAGGTACTCCAATGTCCCTCCAATATGCAGTCCGTGTCCTTTCAAATTTCCCAAGCAAGCTCCCTTGATTATTCTGCTGACTTGTTTCCAGAATTCCGTCCGCATTAAGGGTCTCATTCCTTTCGCGTGTTTCCAGGCAAAAAGGTGCACATTCTGCCCTGGATTGTTGACTGCAAAGTGATTAAGCAGGGCAGCTTTTGGGTCAGTAAGATTGTCTTGTTGTGTCCAGAACATGCTTTGGCTGACGTTTAAGGTTTTTGTTCGTGGGAGAAAGATCTTGGTGACTAGCAAGTCGTGACGATCTTTGATGTTGATCTGCACGTTGGATCGTTTGACATGTTTATTGAGATCAAAGGCATTCAGAGCTCTGACAGTGAGTTCTCCTAGATGACATAAGGCATAGAATGCGGTTGTTAGACACACATAAACTGTGGTGTCAAGAGGTCTTGACAGATCAAGATGAGAGCGAATCTGAAGGATGAGATTCGTCGAAAAGGGTTTGCATTTCATATGTTTGGACATTTCAGGAGTGCATTCTAATACTCCATCTAAGGACACTCTCAACTCATCTTGTTGAACCTCCCACAGCTGGCCGTGCAACCTATGCCATGCCTTGATTGCATACACATAATTCGCCAGCGTCTTCCTGGAGTATGAACCGGTGCAGCTTGACATGAAATTTAACATTGTGCGCATGTCAACCAGGCAACATTGTTCTTTCAGAATAGTCCTTTCGTCACAGAAGAAGTGAAAGACCAACAACCCCGCTCCGTAGCATTCCCTAGTGCTCATGGCCTAGGACATGTTCATCACTGTCAGCACCCTTTGCAGATCTTCATCCGTAATCGCTAATGCACTCCCATCTAATGTTTTTGCTAATCTTGACTTTAACGGGAACTATCATTTTAGTCGATCTCGAGCCAAACAGTGTGGTCTTAGGTGAGACAACACAGGTGCTAGACCTTGCTTGTATGGCTGAGGTATGGCCGATTGTTCTATTGGGAGAATGACTTTGAAGCGAGTGTTATTAGCAGTCCCATCGTTGAAGTTCATGGATGGGGTATAGTGTGTCTGTGGTAATGTGTTTCTCTGTGCCGGAATGATTATCTGAATGGTTGAAAGAAGCTTTTCTGACGATGCTTGGATGGGTTCCTCCCATGTCGTAGTCTGCCGGATCAATGGAGATGACGAATGGATCGACGATAAATGGTTGAAGTGCGGTTGGGATGGGAAGGGAAGGGAGTAGGAATTCTGTACTACTGTAGATTTCTCTGGACGGGGCATCCACCAGATTGGATTTGCTTGTGACATAGGCCAGGTGAAAAGAGTAAGACTCTGGGGAATTGTTGATAAGAGAGAAGACCTGTCTGAAGACTGAGTTGACTGCCGAGTTCCTGCTGTGGCCATTCCTCCAGCCTCCAATGACTCATTGATTGTCTCCATAGATCCTGAAGTGCCACTCTGCTCCTCCCCCTTGAATAAGGTGTTGAACGAGGAGTTTGAATCCAACTGCCTCCACCCATCCAATGTTTTTTTCCCCATCAAGCTTTTGCCAGCCTTTGCGCAACCTCCATGCTCTCCATCTATCTCCAATAATGATAGCAATTCCAGTGCCAGAACTTGCATCTGAGAAGGCTGCAAGGTCATGTAATGACAGAGGTTTAGGTATCATACATCTGACAAAGGGCGTCTCGAGCAGGGCCTTCCACCAGTCAAGGTCTGCTGCCAGTTTTTCAACCGGCCATTGTTGGAGAAAAGGCTTATCTGCAGCGAGGTGCAGCATGGCCTCCAAAGACATAAGGTATGCTCATCCTTTTGGGATGATAAGCGTGACATGCAGTAGTTTATCATATAGCTGTTGGATGTCAATGAGGACATGTGCAATGTGCTCTCTCCATACTCTAATTGCCTTGAGATACTTGTTTTCCTTCTCATTGGCCAAGAAGACTTCATTCTGGGCAAGATCCCACATAAGACCAATGTATGGGTTGAGGTAGGCAAAAATCTTATCCTTAAGTATCTCCCATGGAATGTTGAAATCGTCAGAGACCTCATCAATATCTGCCATGTTGTGTGAGAACCAGGCATCTTCATCTGACCTGGGCGATGCTCCTGATAAGTCTTGAATGGGAAAACGGCAGTCTTTGTCAAACTCTTCTAGAGTTCTGTCATCGAACACGTGTCCGCCAAACCATATCCTTCCTCTGTCTTGATGCTGGCCCCTTCTAGTGATCTCCTGATGCCATTGTCATCTCCTTTTGTTATATGACACAATGTGTTCTCTAAGTATTTGAATAAATAGATGGTCATCAACCCATCTTGACGCTGGTCCAATTCCTTTCGAACAAAACAAGTCCAAACCTGCATCGGCCAAACTTCTGTAAGCTCCCGCTGAAGGCCGTAATCTGAAGCACATGCATGTATCAATGCAAAAAAGGTCTTCTGAGACCTGCACGACTGACCCTGGCCATTGAGACTCATGAATAGGAACCGTATGATATGCTTCCAAGACGTCCCTGATGGCGAATTGAGATCCTGGCAGTAAGTAGCTGATTGTGAGAGTGAGTATGTGAAAGGTACCTCAAGTGCTAGGGAAGTTGTCTGGATTGATGTAGGAATTGATTGATGCATTAGGGAACTTTGTCGAAGTGAGATGAGGACATGAATAGTTCTGGATGACATGATAACATCCAGGTTGACCCAGTTTAGGAATCATTGAAAAAGGAGAGGATTGAAATGGACCAATGAGATCTTCGACTTCATTAGCTTTGAATGGACTGATGTATCTCCCTTTCTTAAGCTCAGTCTGTACGATGGATTGAAACTCTTGTTGATATATAATGATAGACTCTTTGTTAGGTGGCATTTGCATGTGTTTAATATTAGGGATATCAAGGTGAAAACCGCAACAGAGTCCTTCTGGTACATGCGAGTATCTGTCATACAGTCCAGTTGAAATAAGTCCAACTTCCTAGGCCTCTGGATCGTACGGCATGAGTGTTTTAAGCCTTCTGCGCTCAAGGGCAAGCTTGCGCTCTGTGAGAGGATATACCACATCCGGAGCAAAAGTGCCTCTGTCATGAGTGGTCTTGGTGCAGCTGCTGGCTCATTGCCAGTTGCTGCATACAGGTTTTCCATCCCGCATGGCAAGGACTATGCTGATGCGTGCGCAAATGGTGTTGCTGGCATCATCCCAAGTTTGAGTGGCCTTGCACTTGATGATTTTGTGTGGGTTTCATCTGAGGCAGACACCACAAGCTGAGAGGACACCTCTGCTTGTGCCGGCTCGAAAATCCTGCCTTGCTCTTTTTCCCTTGCTGATATGCTCGGGTGAGGCTGGGCACTTTCATGCGTCTCTGGAATTGTGTTGCTTATTCAATGAGTTATCTCGTTGATCAAACTGTGTTAAGCAGCATGGCATGTGGCGCATGGCATGGGGCATGTGGCATGTTATGTGTAGCATGTGGCAAGATGTTAAGATGAGACAGCGAGAAAGAGTTTTTTGAAAAAACTGGATGATGAGCTTGAGCCTATGTTTCATTGAGTGAATAAGACTGACCTTATAGTTCCTGACATTGTCTCTCTTGTCGTGCTCTTCCCAGTATACTCTCTCACTCATTTCTTCCAAGACTTTCTCATTAACGAGAGATAGGTCGTAGGGACCCACAGATGTTTTTATGGCGACGTGCCAGCACCTGTGCTACTCTGCCTGGTAAGTCAGCAGAGCCTTCTGTCCTATCAGATTCCGCATGGACCGGTACTTATGGACCTGGATGTTCCTCCAGAACTTGGCCATTATCCTAACCCTGTCCTTCAGCCAATCTGCTTCCCCTATTGCTGCCAGCATGTGGGGACAGGCTTGACAGAACTCCTTGAACAGTAAGTCTTTATCGTTGATGACAGTGTGAGCATTGCAAGTGGACACTGCTGAAACCCATGCTGACAAACCATCTGCCAATGTGGACATGATCATGGTGTCGTCATCAACTGTTTTCTTGAGATTGGCTTCGTCCAGGCTGTCATTAGTGAAGTACCATATTTCAATGTACTCGCCCTTGTCGATTTTTCTAATCATGTAGGAGCACGGTGTGATAGCTGGGTCATCTGGTATTCCTGTGGCAAAAATCAGCATGAATTTGTGCTTGTTCTTCTTTCTATCTTCCTTGCGCGTGGCCTCTTCTTCTTGAACTCGAACTTGTTTGAGTCTCTCTTGTTCCTCCTCTTCAAGTTGCTCGCAGTGAGCATGCTCTTCTCTATCTTCTGCTACTTGGTGTTGCCATGCTATCTTGTCTGCATTATTATTTGCCTCCCAGATGTTCCTGAGCAATTGTATTGCCTATCCTTCATTAATGTTATTGTTGATAAGTTGAGCTCGAGTATTGGTGAAAGTGTCCGACGCATAGTCAGGACAAATATTGAAATTGGGATTGTTACACATCCTTGGCATGATGATTAAAGTAAGTGTAGATGATGTGACAAAACGATGGTGTAGTCTAGCAGTAGAGGACTTGCAAGTACTATGTGGTAGTACGAAGCAAGAAGGGTGAGAAAATTGAAAGGCTATGCCACCGTGTAGACCTCATTCTATGTACGTTCTCATGCCTCAAACTTTACTTAGAATATAACTTTTGTTTATGCTGAAGCTGAGAAATAGCTTAAAACATCAAATTAGCATTGGTAACCACAGTGGACTTAAGCTCTTAATCTGAGAGCTTGAGTAACACCCTCTTAATTCATGGAGTAGTATGTATTTTTTCCTAGTTCATACTCTTAGTCTTAGATTAATCTATGCTACATTTGAAGAAAAACCTTCCATATATGGCCACCTAATATTTGTCATATCCTGCATTCCAGACCTGGACCGATTACGCACTCATTTCTGGATGTCCGGATCTGACCCGCTTCTTACTTCCACTTCCTTCTCCTTTCATACGTCCTGTTTTAGTTAGTCCCTGTTATCAGCCTTCCAGTTATTTATATATCTGATTGTACTGGTTTATCCAGACCTTGTTTCATTTCCGACTGCATTCTGTTATGTTCTATTATACTATTGATAAGCTTTCCACATGCCTTGTACATAGCCTTACACTGTGCTGACTGATCTTCTGTTATGTTTCTGTAGTATATAAACCCTGTAAAACCTCTGTACATCCTCAGTTCAAATATTGTATTAGATTCTGCTCATTCCTGCCTCCATCCAACTTGAGTTTCTCCTCTCATTGTCTTTTGATAGCCTTAGGATTGATTCCTATTGACTGAATATCTCTGCCTCTACCTTTAGTAGTCTTTCGCTGTTTCTTTCTAGTTCAGACTTCATTCAGATTAGTCTTCTATCTTGTTTCCAAATGTCCGCTGGAATTCCCATGCATTGGAGATTGTCCTATATCCTTTGGAAGTGAAGGGCATGTACTCAGGTAAGGGGTGCAGTGTATGAGCTGAAGCCAAGCCCTTCATATCTGACCCCTTGAGCACGTTCTTAACACTATTAGAGTTATCATCAATTGAGAAATCTCTTGGATGGGCTCCAAAGGTGTGTCTAAAGTTCTGAACTTGGTACATTTCACTTAAATGTCAGGATGTGCCATGCATGATGGAAAGCCTGGCCTACATCATTTGCTTTACTTTAGTACCCCTTTCATTGATATTCAGCCATCCCAGAATCATAGAAGGCAGCAGTTAATAATAGATTTTGTGTCTCTTCAAAGCTACTATCACAGAACTCTTTCATTATTTTTGGATAAAGTCAATTACACTTACTGCAGGCATTTTTCCATTTTCCTCCACCAAACATCCAAAAAACATTGATTGAGAAGATAGAATTTTCCTCTCATTTTGTCTGTCAAAAAAAGTAATCATGTTTCAATGATTTTCTGTGTGTGGGATATGATGCAAAAATTGATCATGTTTCTTTAAGAATAATGTCCTTCAAATAGCAGATGACAATAATGTTACTTTTCTTCTTTGTGTTTTTCAAATATACACAGAACATTTGAAAAACACAGAAAAGAAAATTAACATTATTGTAAGCTGCTATTTGAAGGACAATAGATGGAAAATATAGCATTATCCTTGAAGGAACATGATCATTTTTTGCATCATATCCCACACACAGAAAATTATTGAAACATGAATTACTTTTTTTCAATGTTTTGACAGACAAAATGAAAGGAAAATTCTATCTTCTCAATCAATGTTTTTTGGATGTTTGGTGAAGGACAATTGGAAAATGCCTGCAGTGACTATAAGCCTTGCTGCATTATCAATGTGTCATCTGGTGCCAATTGGACACCTCATGTTGTTTATTCATGTATTAGCTATCATCTTTTGTTCTATCTAATCTCAAATGCTTTAATAATGTACTTCAGTCTAACTTGTTCTTAGTGTTTCCACTTCTTTTTTATGTTTCTCAAAGCATAAACCATTATGACACTGGCTCAGATTACTTAGTCAATTACTGCTCTGTTACTGCACCATTCATTGTCCGCACTATTCTATTCAAACCATTATCAAACTATTATATCATTACTTACAGCTGACTGTCTTGTTCCCACTTAACACATGAAGTCATAGTTAACAACCTCCTTCACAAACTGTATTATCTATCACCAGATCTGTCAGATTACCAACCATTCCCCAGTCCATGTAATGAACATATATGTTTATCAATGACAGTGATTTATCATTGTCCTTAGATTTGTATGTCCAGTATGCATACACACACCCAATGGCTGAAAACTTGGCAAGAATTGCATATATAGACTAACCTGTGCCAACCAAGGCAAGAGCCCTCAGTACAAGAATGGTGTCTTAATAATCAAAACTAGTTGGACAAACTAACATTTGAAGACTACATGAAAGAAGTGCAAGCTTACTGACTGCCTTTGGATTGGGCTAACATCACCCATCAGAAGATGCTGTTGTCAAGCCAAGATAGCAAGCCATTCAACAAATAGGCAGTAGACATCCAGAGTTTAAATATGCTGCTTCATAGTATAACCTCAAAAAGCTCTTCTCATTATCACAATACAATGCAAGGACTGGTTCTGGTAGGGAAATGTGTGCCTTTGTATACGTACCACCCCTCACAGAGGAAGAGTGAAAGCTACTATGCAACAATGACAGTTGATTCAAATGTAGGGAACTTTTTATGGGACACATGTCTAATGTTTGCAGCAAAGACTTCCTGGATGGTGCAAGCTATAAAACATTGATGGCTGCATACATCATGTCAAAGAAGAAGAAGAGTTCACACACTGTGGCTGTTATAGAGGAAGAGAACACCATGGCCATTGTGGTGTTTTCTACTATCTTGGGAAATAGATCAGACTCTAGTGATGAGTGTGTGGCCCTGCTAACAACTTCCTTACTTCTGGACTCATCTTGTTCTATTGTTCTAGGATATAGCTGGCTCACCCGACACAATCTGTTGATTGACTGGGTAAAAGGCAGCATTGATTTCTGTCTAATTCCTCATGGAGCGCCTCCAACCCCTTCGACCCCACTTCTGCTGCTTCCAGCAGAAATCCCTTCCCCAACTCCACTGAGTCCCTCCACTGATAACACCATTTCCAATATTTCCCTAATCAATGCAGTTGCCTTTTGCTGGACCTGCAAATTAGAGGGATCGGTCCAGTTCAGTATTTTTGTCCGCCCCACTGGTGTCAATCTCCGCTTCACTACACTCTCCTCTGAACCTCCAAATATGTCCAGAATTCCTTCGGAATATCACGAGTACGCGGATATCTTTGATAAAGGCAAAGCCAGACAGCTCCCTCCCCATCGTCCCTATGATCTGAAGATCGATTTGGAAGAAGGAGCAGCTCCACCCCTTGGCACCATCTATTCCCTTTCTCTGGTCGAGCTTGCAGCTCTTTGCAAATTCCTTGATGAGAATATTGCAACCAGACTCCTTCATTCCTCATGCTCTCTGCATGGAGCCCCTGTCCTGTTCATTAAGAAGAAGGACGGCTCCCTATGTCTCTGCATAGATTTCTGAGGCCTCAACAAAATCACAAAGAAATATTGCTACCTGCTTCCCCTCATTTCCGACCTTCTCAACTCTCCGAGCCACACAAAAGTCTACACTAAAATTGACCTCCGGTCTGCTTATCACCTAGTCCAGATAGTGGAAGGAGATGAGTGCTTTCTGAACACGCTATGACTCATATGAATGGTTGGTTATGCCAGAGGGTCTCACCAATGCTCCAGCAGCTTTCCAGTGCTTTGTCAACACCATCTTCGCCAATATGCTTGACATGTGTTATTGTGTACCTCAACGACATCCTCATTTATTCCCATGACCTTGCATCCCATAAGCAACACATCCTTAAAGTTCTCTGATGCCTCCAGAAGCATCGTTTATATGCTAAACTGGAGAAGTGTGAATTCCATTCCAACTCAGTAGAATACCTCGGCTACCTCCTATCTCCGGCCGGCCTTACCATGTCCTCTGAAAAAGTCCAAACTATCTGTGACTGGCCAGAACCCCAGAAAGTTAAGGATATCCAATCATTCCTTGGATTCACCAATTTCTATCGTCGGTTCATTTTCAACTACTCGGACATTGTAGTTTCGCTTACACAGCTCACTCACAAGGATGCTCCCTGGAATTTCTCTGAGGATTGCTGGAAATCTTTTGAAACTCTCAAGAAAGCCTTCACTACCACTCCGGTGCTTACGCACTGGATGCCAGATGTTTCTATTGTCGTTGAGACAGATGCTTCTGATTATGCTATTGCCGGAATACTTTCTATTGTATGTCCAGACCAGGAGCTCTGCCTGGTTACCTTTTACTCCTGAATCCTCTCAGCTCTGGAACTCAATTATGACACTCATGATAAGGAACTTTTAGCCATTTATGAAGCTTTCCGGTCCTGGCGACACTACCTTGAAGGCTCTGCCAAACCTATAGATGTTCTCACAGATCACAAAAACCTTGAGTATTTCGCTACAACAAAACTCCTCACCCGCCAACAGGCCCGCTGGTCGGAATACCTTCATCAGTTCAACCTAATTATCTGTTTCCGACCCAGAAAACTCGGAGCAAAGCCTGACTCCTTAACTAGACATTGGGACATCTACCCCAAAGAGGGGGATAAGAACTATGCTCAAGTTAATCCACACAACCTCCGGCTGATATTCATCACAGAACAGCTTGCTTCGTCCCTCCAGGCATCACACCTAGCAATTCCGGTGCTCCAGGCAGCTGTACTAATGGATGTCGAGCAGCTTCATAAGGACATTCTGTCCACCCTCCCTAATGACCCTATCACTTCCAGTCATCTTCCGGATCCGTCAGACCCAAGATGGACAAAAGACGACAGTGGTTTCCTCCGTTGTGACAACCATATATATGTTCCAGAATCCAATGACCTCCGCCTCCAAGTGCTCCAGAATACGCATGACCACCCCCTATCCGGACATTTCAGTCAGAACCAGACCCTGGAA